TATGACACCCACTGGACGTGCACAGCAAGAGTTGGGGAAGTTTGACAGTAGATAGACAAGTCCATAAGGCACATTGTTTATGACGTTTGACAGCTTTGCTCTGCCTTTCGCAGATGTGCAACCGCCGGATTTAGGATTCGTCGAGTTTCTCTGCAGCACAGAACACCTTGAGATGCACTCTGTCCAATTGTTCAATAACCTAGAGAGCATCCCAGGTGGGTACAGTATCTGTTTGGACCCAGCCACAGTGCCCTTCTTGCTGTGTGTTGCACGCTGCCTGCCCATTTTACTTTGAAGTGCCGGTGTTCAAGAGCTGAAAAAGGATCAACGCGTCCGTCTTACATATGAGGTACATCCTTCCAACTGTACCAGAAACGCTTGGGAAGCTGTTTCCGGCAGCACTGTTTTTGAAGTTGAGAGCTAATTCCGAGTTTCAGCAGACAAGTCCCTCTCAATCATGACAAGAGCTGTCACTTTCATTGCACCAGTTGGTTGTTTCTGCTTCAGACAATCACACAATTTCCTTTTAAAAAAGCAACTCCCTCAGAATACAAAAAAAAAAATTAAAATAATGTTACGTTAAAGCTTTTGAGTAGGTTCCTGCCAAGTATACACCGTTCCAAGTAGGTCGATGCAGAAAGGGAAAAACATTCTCGAACCAGAGCGCTGCGCCAACGCTCCGCCTACCCTTTCCCTTGAAAGCTCGTCTGCTTCATGGAGTGAAAAGTTACCAGAGGGTGGAGAAAGCACGTACGCAGTGTGTGGAGGCAAGTTGTTTCAACAATGTTAGGCGCCGCTTTGATATTAAAGCGTGTATTTGCGCGTGACATGGCCTATGCAAGAAAAGAATCGACCGGGCAGCACTGTGCTGTAATTGGTTGTAGAAATAACTAAAAAAAACCGTAAAATAAACGCCGATTCAGTGTGCGGGACCCACGCTGTCAAACAGAATGAATAAGGGTGCGGCATGTTTATGCTGCACCGGTTCCCCGCTGCTCCACAGCTACAACGCCGGTGGCTGGCGAATTTAAACAGGAAAGACTTCTTGCCATCGAAGAGCAGTCGTGTGTGCTCCAACCACAGGCATAGACTTCGGGGGGCATCGGGGCTCGTGCTCCCTCTGGTGAGATCCAGGAGGGGGGCAAAGCCCGAGCCCCCCCCCCCCCCCCCCCCCCCCCACTCCGAGCCCGGGCCATGATCCTTAGCGAGACGCTGTTTAAGTGCCATGTAACGAGCTTCTATAGTAGTTGCATGTAAACAAAATAACGCCCACGTTGCCTTTATTGACAAAATACAAGGGAAATGGAATCCCAGCGTGCTTTCGTTAGCTTCAATCTCCAGCTCTAACGAAAAGGTAACGCCACAGCCCTTCACCCCCCCCTTCCCGGGAAAGTGGAAAGTCTACGCCGCTGGCTCTGACCATTTCTTGGACGGCCGGCGAACTGCGGAGAACCCTGTGCCGTTCCTTCGCCTGGGCTACGACCGAAAAGTAAGCGGGGCAGCTTAGACATTGAAAAATGAAAACGGTTGCGTGACTCCTAGTCCGCTGATTTAATAACTTTATTTTTCTTCAGGTTGTAAGTGGTAGGCGACGCCTGGTGCGGAACAAAAACAAAAATTTCGGCAACATCCATTGTGCGGTGTATCACTTTAGATGTTTTTTTTCTTAGGAAAACAGCAACTGACAGGAGAGAGAAAAAGTGACGAAGACAAGGCGCATCGCCTTGTCTTTGTATTATATTTCGGTATTTATATATCGATTCATATCTAAATTTGAGGTTTCTACTATTTCAATTAAAGCAGACGTGGCAGCGCAGTTCTGAGCCACTAACGGCGCAGTTAGTTCAAATGTTCCTGGCGCCCCCAAGCTGCGACAACTCGAGTTCAGCGCAAATTCACATGTCCTAATTCGTGCATCCTTGCTTCGTTCAATCCTCAATTTCACTGGCGATCCCCAACTTTGCTAGCGATCGAAGCGCCGAGTTCAATTTTGTGAGCGACGACTGCCCCAGAACCGCGCTAAAAATTACCCACAAAAAGATGCCAGGAAAGCAGGATGCACTTTTCCCCGTGCCTGACATACCGACTAGGATAGTGTTTTCCTCCATGGACAAAGACGATGAGCAAAGGGCGCCGAATATGGCAGCCGTGCCGGCAGAAGCAGCTGCGATCGGTGTGACTCGGTGAGCAGGGTAACAGTTCAGTAATGGCGGTCGGTCATTCAGACGGGTTCACATTCTCCCAAATGTCCAGATGAGGGTAGACGGCGCTACACTCGTTGAAATAGCGTTGCCCAGGAAGCCCAACTCGAAATGGTGTATACTTAACCTCATGGGCAATGTGCATATCTTCGGCAAGGAACAAGCAGAACATGCTGCAAACCTTCACAAGACGCTCAAGTGGCTTGTTGCTTCAACAAGCCACTTGCAAGGGTTACTCTCGACGTATATATACATGCCTTGCACCTACGTCACACGACGACATTGAACGCCGGTATCCACCATGCTGGTGGTTGACTTGACGGCCCTTCGCAGCGAGAGCAATGGTAAACTGCGCCGCACTCGGCTGTAGCAATTACTACGTATCCTGACGATCGTTTCGTTGGCATGCCCCGACGGAGTAGCCGTCAAGTTAGAGAGAGTATGAGTGGCAGGAAAGGGATGCGGCTGCGGATTACTGAGTTTGCGGGACGCATCTCATAGCGGCAAGCAACGGCACTTTTCTACCGCTGTTTACATTCGTGCAGGCCTTTACATCGGCTTTCACCCTTTGCCTTTCGTTACATCACGCCGTTTCCACGCTTCCGAGCGCACCTTCAAGGCTCCCGGCCGAGTGCGAGCGAGTGTTGCGCCGCGAGCCCGGCTTGACGGCGGCCCCCGTGCGCAAGCTCGCCGAGACGCCGCTGTCGGGGCATCGGTTTGTGCCTTTTGAGACAAGGTAACCTTTGCAAGGAGTGAATTTATGCAGGCGAGCCGGTTAAGAAACATAATAATATTAACTCTGAAACAATAAAAGCTGTCTCGTCTGCTATTTTAAAGAAATTGGGTAGTGCGTATGTTTATAGAGCCTAGAACTTGGTCTGCCTCAACGGGCGACGAGTCTCCCAGCTGTAAATGAGAAATTTAGCCAGTGCAGTACAACCGCTAGCCTGGGGTCTTTACGTGCATCACGTGATAGTGATACACGACCGCACGCCAGTACTATGCTCATCCAGATCGAAATGGGCAGGGGTGGGGATTGAACCCAGGATCCTGGGTTCTTCAGCGCGAGTTTTCACTCCATGTGCTCCGAGCCGGTGTGTGCTAGCCCACTCAGCCACCGATCGTCCTCTGTTATTTTATTTAACCTTGTATCAGGGTTTAGATTATGCAGTAACCTTGCGTTGTTTACCAGTACTTTGCAAAATTGTAACAATTTTTCTACAAGCAAAACCTAATTGCGGCGCTCAATTAGGGCTTTTTTTTTTTGACACGACAGTTTTTTGCATTAAAACTTAGTCGGCGGCATATCGAACCCCCCCCCCCCCCCAATGCCAGAAAATTCCGCATGTGCTGGCTAAACATCATCATCGTAAGCTCGGCTCGTTTTTCCAAGTTCACATCTAATAAAACTAGGTACCCTTGATGAAAATATGGTGCATGTAAGCGCATGTCGGGGCAGTTAGCGGCATCCTACGCCTTTGTAAGCACATCCGCACAGTGCAGTCCACCACCAGCATGGCGCACGACCCCGTCCTTCTAGTGTGACGTCACATGCAATTCATGTAGAGACAGAGCGTAATATAATCGACCCAGACAATTCCTACAATAATAGCCTCTTCCCACTAGAGCGACAAACACTGGTTTCTGTTCGACGACACCATAAAGTTCCGTGTCGCCGATGCTGTCCCACTGCAACGACCAACAACCGCGACAATCGCCGACAAGCGCCGACAAAGGATCGACGACAGACGAGTTCTTGTCTGTCGTCGATCTCGAACTTGAAGCACAGCAAGCAGTCTTACTGAGGAGCGTCTCTCGGAGACAAACTTATCCTCCTCGCCCAATTATGCCTTCTGTTGCCTTTGCCTCCCTTCCCACCCTTCTACCCTTCCTCCCGGAACGAGAAGCCCTTGGCGGCCACTTCCCGTTCCCGGCCCCGCAGTTCCAGTCCTTCGATTGCAGGTAGTGCTCGCGGGTGCGGCTTGCTGGCTGGCGCCGGGCGGTCCTGCTGCGAAAGTGAATTTGCTGTGACTGGTTTTGCTCGCGAAAACTTGGTGCGCGAGGTGGTGCTTCAAGACGCCGAAGTCTACGGCCCTGCATCAGGATGGATATAGCAATGTGCGAGAACTAACCCAAGTAAGACCGCTCACCACGAAGTAGGACACGACGTTCTATGGCAAGCCATTCCAGCAGATGAGACTTGTTATCACGTTCTGTGATAATCAGGATGCCGTACTGTCCACAAAAAAACGCCTGCCCTTGATCATTGGAATATGAAGTTATAAACATCCTCAAAAGCGGTGTGAAATTCTGTGGCGTTCACCTAGAATGCCTCGAACGGCCAAAAAAAGGAACGATTCGGGTATTCCAGTTCGGAAAAAGTTTGGTGTCGATTTTCACGACTGTTCGCGGAAAGTCGCCAACGGCAAATGAAGAGAAGCGGAAGCTTTAGTCAAGAAATAAAGTAATCGTCTCCACTTTCACTGTTTGTCAGCCCGTTTTATGCCCAAAGAGCAAAACACGAAAACCGCGTCGCCAGACTCTGTTTGTCTGTGTAGTTTGGAGTGTTTTGTTGACAACTATAGTACCACTAGGAAACAAGTTTCCTTGCCCCCGTGTTCTGCGTCGTGCCCGCCAAGTGGGACGGCGGACTCCGACAAACAGGCTGTCTGTCGGTGTCGTCTGTCGCTCGTTGTTGTGTGTCGCTGTTGTTTGCTGCTGTCTGTCGCTCTAGTGGGACGCGGCTATAACAATGGGTAAATATCGGGAGAAACGCGCTTACAGGATGCGCTACCTCACCTGGGCTGTCGAAATTAATCTTCGTGTTGGTCTTCTCTTGGATTTGCTTGATGTTTGCCCCTTGACGTCCAATGACACCTCCGACAACAGCTTTGGGGACCGTCACACGAACGACGGTGTGCTTCGTTGTTTCTACCTTCTGCCTCTTTACCTCGTACTCTTCTTCTTGTTTAAGAAGCAGGTAAAGCAGAATAGACGACAAGGTTACACCTGCGCCTAAACCAGCCCATAACGCAATCGTTTTAAATTTAGAATCCATCTTATTTCAGTTTACTCGGTTGATCACTGTACATGCTACCCAAACTCCCAAGCTTCCAAACCTCCAATCGTTCTAATGATTCCAATGCTCTTTCAGCGCCCCAGCTTCCCTCGGATTGATCTGGATTGGATTGGAATGGATCGGATGCTTAAAATGACTTCGTTGAACAGCGTGGCCAGACCCGTTTTCTCAGCTACGCCGTGGGCCATTGAACACACCTCCAACTGGTGCGTCGTCCCGCTTTACTCCACTGAGCTGATTGCTGGGATTGCTGTACATTCAGACGTCACCTAGACTAGAGCACTATATAGCTCCTACAGAGCAGAGTAGCGCAATCCTTTGAACTCCGTGTTTTGCCGACAACATGGCCGACAGAGCGGCTCGGTGCGAGTCACGTGGTACTCAGGGTTCCAGGAGGCGGCCCGCCCTATGGGAGAATACATGGAGATCGACATAACACGGCTGATTAAAAAACTAACGGCGAGTTCACATTTTTCAAAACTAGCCTGTCGTGAAGTTAGTAAAGCGCTAAACACTTTATCAAAGTTTTAATAATATCGGATGCGTGTGCAAATTTTGTGGCGTTTGAAGCAGACGATTTTTGCTCGCAGCGGAGATGGGCTTTTCGGGTTGGCCGGAGCGGGTCACGTGAATGGTGTGACGTCGCCGTGTCGTCTGCTGCATGATGCCGCTCAGGCAATTTTTAAAAAAAAGTTACGTCCTTGTATGGCACAAAACTTATCGCATATTATTCTAAAATGTTTCATTATTATGTCAAAAATGATTTCCATTCCGCACATCCCCACAAAACTGAAGAAACAACGATTTTCTCACGTTCTCCATGCATTTCTGACCGCAGTTGGAACCTCCGGGCGTTCGATGCTAGTCGCCGAGAGACGGCGTTCTAGATTGCGTTACTCTGCTCCGAAGGAGCTATATAGTGCTCCAACCTAGACAAGCTTAGAATATTCAGAAGTTTGTACTCTAGCCAATGTTAGTTTAACCATAAATGGACATTTTCACCGGACCAGTTACTTGACAGGAGGACAGAGGGGGCTGGCGTACTTGAGTCGTTCCCGAAGTTTCGGTGTCGAACTGTTCGCGGCTGCGTCAGAGCTTTATGTCGTATTAAAGGGGCCCTGCAATGACTTTTTGACTGGTTTTAATTTGCACCGAACCTGAGTGCATTGAAAGTAGTAACTTAATCAAACTTTTCTTTTCTCAAATTTCGCTTTATTTTAAAAGTTATAGGCAAATTAGAATTACAAAAACAAGCAAAAAATAACCTCCTTCATGACGTAGTAGGTCCTGGCTTGACTGGCCGTGAACTAGAGGAGGGGTAGTGAGCTCATCGAGCGTTCACGGTTGCCGCACTCCGGGTCAACGGCTCGAGAGGGCGCCACTAAAGCATATGTTGGATAGGCTCTATGAAGCGGGCGGCCGGGGCGGCTCGCATTGCATTTGCTGCGCGATTAAAGACTATTTCGGCATAACACTTCATTGGACACAAACGACAGCAAACACGGGGTAAAGATCAGTTCAGAACAAGAGCCACTTCGCGCTGCCATGCCGCCAAATGGCCACATCGCCAGCAGGGCCCGCGCCGAAGGCCTTCGGAACGCTCGGAACCGGTCGGATCGTTGAGCCGGTATACGACCGCAGCGCCGCCGCGTACATCCGGGGCTTTTCTACGCTGGTCGTTCGTCGTAGCCTCATCCCACTAGTTCTTTCTAGTATGCGCCGTTTCTTCCGCCGCTTGGTGGCGGGTGTGTCGACGGGTCTTTTCTTGTTTCCGTACTTTATAAACTGCATTTGTTTCTTTTCTGATCTAAAATACTGAACAAAAACTTCTTTTATAAATAATTGAAACGGTTCGCGGCCACTTATATTTTGTATTTCGACTACGAAAAAGCTTTTAGCGGCTCTGACCAGTAGTAAGCCTAGGACCAAAGACGTCACACTTTGCGCGCTTTCGGTACCGCGGGTCGCCCTCGTCGGTGGAGGTGGTTTCCGCGTCGTCCGGTTAAAATATGACGCACTGATATTTAGTTACTCTCTCCGTGCCCGCTGGCTTGCCCGGACCCCAAGAGACGTGGAAACCGCAAAAAAGGTAGTTGCTTAAATATGATTGCAGGGCCCCTTAAGGGGTGTCCAAACAGGACACTACAAAACGCACGACTCCGACAAATCGTGAAAAATGAAGCGGACGCGCCCGCTTCGCGCCCGCTTCAATTTTCACGATTTGTCGGAGTCGTGCGTTTTGTAGTGTCCTCTTTGGATACCCCTTTAGCTGGATTTTGGTGTCTGAACGAAACAGTGGTACTGAGACACAATAAGATCTAATTAGGTGCTTCAAAATCAAACTGAGGACTTTCTTTTTCCCGAATATCTTTTTTGATGGAAGTGATAGTAATAATTAGCCTATATTGATATGATTAGGCTCATGTATATATAAAACTTGAGACACATTAGAAATTCCCACCAGGTTATAGTCTTATCTCAAAACAAAAATATTCGAAACAAAAGTAAAGAAGAAATAAGAAATCTTTTGGGGGCGAAGATCTAATGCAAAATATGCTTGTCATCGCAGAAAGCCCCAGCCTCAGTGGACGCTGAGGCTAAGGCTGTTTTAAGTATCTTGCCCAGCCTGACCTATGGACAATGGGACATTTAAAACAGGATGTCTCCCGTTGAAACCTGCAGATATTTCAGGGTGCGTTGAAACGCTGCATGCGCCTGAAACCTTTCGAATCGTGATTTATATGGTAGTTTCATTTTATATACGTAAACTAACACAACACTTATTATGCACCTCATAAGACACCCGTCGGCAGTGGCAAATGCGGCATCATTCTTTTTCGGTGGGATGCATACATGCCGCTTTGCGTGTAGCACCTTTTACATGGAAAAACGACATACAACAGCCTTTTTTAATAAAGAAATGTTTAGTTTTGGTTGAAAGGGAAAATAATGAGACGACAAATAGTTCTAGACAACGCATTGCCCGTGACGTCACGTCCGTCCGGACGTCACATCTGTCTGCACAAACCCCCAAGACGGACCACCCAGCTAAAAGTTCCTATTAGATCCAATTGGAATTCTAACTCGCTTTAATTGGAACCAACTGGTTTTAGTGGGTTCCAACCGGAAGCACACAAGCCATAAATCTCGCCAATTAGAATTATCTTTCCAGTTAGAACTTGAATGGTTTTTGCTTCCCGTTGGTTCACATAGGTTCACATTGTAGTGACTAATTGGTTCTCCGAAAACCTAACTGGTACCAATAGGAAAATTCAAATTGAAACCTAATGGGAATTTTTAACTGGGCCATAAATCCACCCCTGCCTGATGGTGGCAGTTCAGGCAATGTATAGCCTTAAAAAAGGGAGCAAACTTCTTTTTTTTTTATGTCGTTTTGCAAGCTTTTGAGCAGCAAATGACCAAGACCCCACGTAGCACGAGAACGTTCTGAGAACATGCCAAGAATGTTCAAAAGAACATAGGCAACATTCTTGGAATGTTGCAAATTTGCTGAAGAACATTCTATCAACGTTGTCAAAATGTGGTGCAGGCACTTATCGCTACATTCGGGGAATGTTTTCTAAGGGACATTCTTAGAACATTCTTAGAATGACATAGAACATTACCAGGGCATTCAATCAACATTCAAATATCCTAACAAGGTTCTAAGAACGTTTTCAGAACATCCAAAGAACTTCTGTAACTTTATTGAAATGTTGCAAATTTATGCATGGACATCCTTTCAATCTCCCCAGAACGTGGCGTGGGTACATCGCTACATTCAGGGAACACCCTCTGAGGTCTATTTACAAAGATTACACAATTATGGCTCGCTTAGGCTACAGCCCCAATGAGCCGCATTACATATATGGATTTGATAAAACTCCTCACGGGGCAATATTTTTTAATCGAAACAGATTTCTAGAAGGCGCAAGCACAAGCTAGCCGCCTTCCCAGCGCACCACCTTGAGCACGTACTAATGACAGTTTACTCCTATCTGTCACTTGTCAACTTCTTTCATTCAAAATGGCTTGTATACATAACCAAATATTCACTCCGAGCTTAGGAAGAGATACACATGGTATCCACATTCAACTGGGAAATACTAGGGTGCCTCAATGTCCTTCTGTTAAGGGTGATGCCACCCTTTGTAGTACCCGATGCCGACAGCACGCGCTCACGGGTAAAATACAAAGAAATCGACGAAAACAAAATGTCGCCGTAGCACAGTCAGCGCCACGAGTGCGTGCAGGGACACGTTCCTTCACGCGCTTCTGAACAAAAAATAAAAATAAAAGTGTGAGACAAAATGGCCAGATGTCTCCACCCTAAGCCAAGCGCACATGAAGGCACCCTAGGAAATACTTTTTAAAAGTTCTAAACCCCAGATACTAAAAATCTGGTCCATTCAAAACTGCCCCTCTACATACGCAGTGAGTGTCAAGTTCATTATTTTGAAGATTTAAAAGCCATTGCTTTTCTCCTACATCTTATGTCACATTCCTCGGTAGACTCATATAAGATAAAACTGATATTTTAGGCTAAGTTCCCAGAAACTCCACATAATTTGCATCTTTTTGGCGCAAAGTGGCATATAGTGGATGGTGTTTCGAACCACAGGTTGCGTGAGAGCTCCGTAAAGTTGGCTTCACCTCCGAAAATTCTAGGCATGTTTACAAGCGAACGTTCCAAGGATGTTGCGCATATGAATGTTCAAAGGGGAATGTTCCAAGAACATTGTGCATACGAATGTTCGCCAACGAACGTTCCTAGAATGTTGAGCAGCTTACCTTGAAGGGAATGTTCGCATACGAACGTTCCTAGAACGTCCCGAATAATGTTGTAAGGTTCCTTCAACATTCATAACACCCAGGAAATGAGTCAAAGTACAGGCTAGCTGGTGGAAGTCAACCATTTCGTCGTTTACCCTGAGACTGGTTTTTTTTTTTTTAGAAGAGCAGAAGTAACAGAACTTCTGCTCTTCTAAAAAAAAAACCCAGTCTCAAGGTAAACGACGAAATGGTTGACCCAGGAAATGTTCGCACACCATTGGGTGCTGCTTGGGACAGGGCTGCACACAGATGCTAAGGTGGAGTTTCTTAGCTAACATAAAT